TTTGAGATATATATCTATATATCAAGGATTTAGGGTTTAGGGTTTGTATGTATATCTATATCTCAAGGGTTTAGGGTTTAGGNATGCTGCAGGGGGTGGAGCCCACTGGGGCTCTCTGCCTCTCTGCTGCAGCTACCTTTTACATTCTACAGGTATCTTTTTCTCTCTGTCTCTCGCTCAACAGTCTCGTCGGACAAAAGACCGGAGCGTGATACAGGAGATTCTACACAGGCCAGGTGTTGTGGCCTTTTACACACATGTATATATAATACTCTATATAATGTATATATATATTCTACCTATATTATACATACTATTTCTCCTTTATACCTTATATACAGCATACAAAGGGGCGGAGCGCGCGCGCTGGGGCTCTCTGCCTTTCTGCTGTATTTACCTTTAACACCTACCTTTTACAGCTACCTTTTTTCTCTCTGTCTCTCGCTCAACAGTCTCGTTATACAAAGGACCGGAGCGTGATACAGGAGAGTCTACACAGGCCAAGAGTTGTGGCTTGTGGCCTTTTACACAAATGTATATATAATACTCTATATATTGTATATATATATTCTACCTATATTATACATACTATTTCTTGTTTATACCTTATATACAGCATACAAAACTGCTGCTTTCTCGTGGTGCTTCTCTCTGTTTACTGCGGATATCCCTGCGGGCTCTTCTGCTGCAATACACACACACACACACACACACACATATATATATATATATATATATATATATATATATATATATATATNTATATAAGGATCTCTGGGTCGAGCACAATGAACTCTCTCGTGCTTCACCAACCCCGCAGCGTTCTCCTCAGCTACAGCGCCTCCACTCAGCCTTTGCCGACCAGGGGGACCCCCACCACCGCCTCTATTAGGGGCCCACCTATGGGCCCCCGGGTCCCGCGGGGCCCCCTGGGGCCCCCTGGGGCCCCTGGGGCCCCTGGCGTCCCCCTGAAGTGACCGGGATATTCACAACCCTGAGTGGCCCTAGAGGGGCCCCCCTGAAGTAAACCGGGGGGTTCACTATGGCGGGCCTTGTGTAGGCCACTCGGGGCGGCCCCAGGCGGGCCACTAGGGGGCCCCCTCTGGACCCTCTGTAGAGCCCTGGGGGCGGCCATATGTAAACACCGGCGCGGTTCACTATTGGGTTCCCCTGGGGGGCCCCTCTGTAGGCCCCTTGGG